CATTTTAACGACTAACCAACATGCATCCCTATGATTCATTGCTGCATCAATCATTGGATAATTGCAGAAAAACATGGAAGCAACCAAAATGCAAATCAGCAGAAGATTGGATAAGAAAAGCTTTGGTTCATCTACTCCATGGAATACCTACTCAGCTAGTAAAATGACAAAAAACAAAATGCAGTTCTTTGTGGACCAAAGTACCATTCACAACTGGTAAACTATCAATGTCTAAGACTGGAAATGAGCGAACACCCAATAAAGATTACTATACCACATGTTTGCTCTGAGATTTAACCTGTAACCTTTTTTGTTTGGTTGTTTGTTATTTTTTGAACCTGTCATTGATACTGTCTCAATGCCATGATGTTTCGAAGAATGGAACTTGCATTACAACATTTTTTAGAACATATCTGTTTACCCAATACTATGTCAATTTCATCCTCCAACTAATGTTGTATATTGAAACTGAGGCCTTGCTTTGGGGCATTTTTAACTGACCGATATCTTTACTCTGTTAACCTATACTTCAGACCATAGAAGGTCTCCCCAAGAGGCCACTGAACTTATCTGGACAATAAAGACGCTGAACTTTATGCTAGGCATGTGTTTGCAAGCAATGAATCTCAACATGCTAACTTGAACTATGGCTTATGCAACAAGGTGGAGGAAATCCACCATAGGGGGGATGGGGTATAGGATGGTTTGGGGAATCCCCAGCACCTATAAAACTGTACTACATAATACAATGTAAGCAACAATAAATTAAAAAAAAAATTCAAAATGTCTCCTCAGTAGGAAGTAGGTGGTGAATCCATGCTTATGCCTTAAAAAAGATATGCATTTACTTAAGAGAAAGAGAGAATCAGTCTTTCATCCACAAGAAAGAATGGCCTGGACCAGGTAGAACCTAGGGGCTAAAAACTCCATTCTGGTCTCCAATGGTTAGTAGGGGCCTAAGCACTTAGGACATCTTCAGCTGCCTTCCCAGGCATATTGGTAGGCAGCTGCAGAGGAAGCAGAGCAGCCATTTCTGGAACCAGTGCTGTAATGTGGGATGTTGGCACCCCACATGCTAGTTTAACCCACTTTTGCACTAGGCAGTCTTTGTTGCTTATATCTTTGTAATCAAATATTCAATTATGCCTTCCAAATGTAGAGTGAGTGGTGCATCATTTAAAAAGAAAGTGCATGCTGGCTGGTGTTACAGCATAGCGGGTTAAGTTGTCACCTGCAATGCCAACATCCCATGAGCATTTGTTTATGTCCCAGCTGCTCCATATCTGATCTAGCTCCTTGCTATTGGCCTGGAAAAAACAATGGCCCAAGTGTCTGGATCCCTGCTGCCCATGTGGGAATTCTGGAATAAGCCTTTGATTTCTGGTTTGTATCTGGCCCAACTCCAGTCATTGCAGCCATTTGGAGAGTGAGCTAGCAGATGAAAGACCTCTCTCTCTCTCTCTCTCTCAGTCTCTCTCCCCCACCCTGCTCTGTAACTCTGCCTTTCAAATAAATACAATAATTCTTTTTTAAAAATACTATAACACTGCTTCAGTGACCACAAATAAGATACTATCTTGCATTTTGATACCTCAGCCTCACAGTTGTCAGTGGTGTCTGTAGGGAAATAAACATGAAGTGTTAGAATCACCTGGAAGGCTCATTAAAATGTCTTGGTTAGGTTTCACCCCATAGTTTCTCACTTAGGTGTGGAATGAGAGCTGGGACTGTGTGTTGGCAGGCTCCTGTACACTGCTGCTTCTGCTTAGGACCCACACTTTGAGAACCGTGAGGAGCTCGGACTGGCTTTGTGCCATCCAAGTAAAATAATGCAGCATCTTTCTTTCTGCTTCCATTTCCTCCTGCTCCTTTCCTAATTTACACCAACAGTGTCGGGAATGACCTTCAAGTTTCTCATCGCTGCTCACGTCTAGGAATGAACATTTTAATATTACAATTTGGTTGTTTGGTGGAGATAATGTGTCTAGAATAGAAAGGACAAATGGAGTAGTTGATTTGTCCAACTCCTGGCTTGCTAGATTGTTCTGAAACTGATCAGTTAGTGTGGGAACCCTAAACCCACTGGCTGCTGGGGTCATGATGGGTGTAGGGTTCAGAAACTCAAGGTGCCATCATATGATTGGCATGTGAGCCTGTTTGTGGTTGTCTTGGCCTCATGTCCCCAAATGACATAAAAGTAGTTTTAAAGTGGACTTTGAAATATCTCATCTGTGAAACGTAGGGTATAATCCCTGCGCTTCCTGCCACTGGGGCAGATGTGTAAATCCTGTGCGCTAATGTGTGTGAAAGAGCAGGGAGAAGGGCACAGTGGCACCCAGGTGTGGATGATGTGCTTCAGGCACCCAGCCGCCGTTCTGATGACCATCTCTAAAAATGAAAACAGACCCACATTTTGAAAGGTTTCCATTCAAATTGGCTCTGAGCGTTAGCAGGCACTGGAGAATTCCAGTGTCTCACTTTGAATTATATTCGTGGCCACAGAGTTGCCCTTTATTTCTGAGGGAGAATTGGGAAGAGGTATTTGTGTATTACTCATGCCAGCCACTGGCCATCAGGGCATTTGCCATAGATGCCAGAATGAATAGTATGTCTGGGTTTTGAAGACGTTACCAGGTAGTCTGTTAAAATTTAGATGTCTCAGCAGTTTTTGCTTTATCATGTTTTTAAGATTTGTTTTTATTTACTTATTTATTTATTTATTAGAAAGTCAGATATATAGAGAGGAAGATCTTCCATCCACTGGTTCACTCCCCAAATAGCCGCAATGGCCAGAGCTGAGCTGATTTGAAGCCAGGAGCTTCATTTGGGTCCCCCACACAGGTGCAGGGTCCCAAAGCTTTGTGCCATCCTCGACTGCTTTCCCAGGCCACAGGCAGGGAGCTGGATGGGAAGTGGACCATCTGGGGCATGAGCCGGCGCCCATATGTGATCTCAGCACATACAGGCAAGGATTTAGCCACTGAGCCATCATGCCAGGTCCTTTATCTCATTTTTAAAACCGTAAGTAACCCCCTGTACCTCTTGGTTTTTGTTTACTTAAATAAGGATGCATACTAAGAGGGTGTGACTATAATAAAAATGAAGTGTTTCATACTACATGTGCCAAATTTGAGCTGAAATGTATTAATCTGAGATGGAAACAATTGTTCTTACTTCCAGAAAGAACAGCCTACCTCCAGTTTTGTTCTATGGTTGTACAATTTAGCACAGTGCCTCCAGCCATCTGAGGATAGGTTAGTGTTCTAGAAGAAGACCGAGTGTGAGGGAGGCCTCTAAAAAGTTCTTGAAATGGATATTATGCACTGATTATTATTATATTAGGCATGGATTTCACTTTGTGGCAGGGGATACCAACATAAACTTTGGATTCCATCTTTAGGGACTCTTTGGAAGTCTCCTTCCATAGTGAGGCATCCTGACTGTTTTCTGGGAGAAAGAAAAACCTGCATGTAACTGTAGCACCTGCTGTGAGGAGGTACCCTTCGGGGTTTTACTGTGCACTTCTATCTTCCTTCATGTGTCACTGTACCTCTAAGTATCCAGTTGACATTGGCATGGGCCAAAGTGCCTTGCCCTGGCCACAGGACTCTACCCAGCTAACCAACAGCTGGGCATCCAGGATGCCTGTCCAGTGCCTCCAATGAGATGCACAGCAACAAGGCTGTGGTCCCAGCCCAGTAGAACCCATTCTTCGGATTCTCCTCTCTCTTGGGGTGCCCTGGTGTGAACCATGCCCTCTTGCCAGGCCCACCTGGGCCAGGTGATTGTGTTGTCCTTAAACACTAGTCCCATATGATGTTGTTCACTTGTCACCCTCCCCAAGACTACCTCTTTTCTTTCCTGCTTACACAAACAAGGACAATCCAGGTCCCCGAAAGGACATGTGTGTGCACACTCTTTGCATGTGTGTGGACACACACACACAAGCTGTGCATCACACCTGACTTGTCTGTCACCTCATCCTTGAGGGGCTACCTAGCTAAGACCGCAGTAACTAGAGGGTGTTTAAGTGGAGGGTGTATCAGACTGAGCCATATTTTGACAAGCCCGTTTGAGAACCAATACTTATTCCCAAGGAATGGACGGAACTTTCAGGCCCTTTAGCAGACTGGGTGGGTGGGTGGGTGGGATTGGAAGGATATTTTTGAGTAGAGAGATTCTTGGGAGTGTTTCATATCACCACCAGGAAGGAAGAAAGCTCCAGTTTGTGGGCCATGTAATTCCTCATCTGAAAACTTGCAGCTAGCTGGTTCACAGAACTCACAGTAGCCGGTGCAGTGCATGGGAACAGCTGCACGTGTTCCCAGAGGCTGTGTCTGTTAAGGAAACAAACATGCTCACATGAGGAGGGATGAGTACTGTCAGCTTGTGTGCCAGGGGTGCCAGCGATGAATTTCAGCTGCATCAGGCCTTACGGGCTAAGTAACCTCTGATGGCAGAGGCTTTTAGCGTTTCAGAATTACTGATATGGAAAGATGTCCTTGTAATTGTAAATACTAATTCACACTAACTGAGCACTTAGGGCATGCCGGGCACTGTGCTAAATGTGCACTTTACATGTAGACGCTCATCAGCAACTGAAGAGGAAGCCATTAGTCGTGCCCCCTCCTTCACTGCTGACTGCTCAGTCTTCCTTCAGTAACCACTGAGTCCTATCCTGTGTGGAGGAGAAAGAGCAAAAGGCCTCTGCCACCCGCTCCCACCCGCCCCGGCTGCTCCCAGGGGCTGGAATGTCGGTAACTACAGGACTAAGGCCCAGGAGGGCAGGTTCCTCCAGGCAGCCCAGCTTTGTCCCTGCAGGCAGAGGGGGAAGGCAGCCAAGAGAGGGCTACTACGGAGCATTCATTCCAATTGCTCCTGCGTCAGAAGCTATCATTCCCCAGGTCACCTGTCCCCACCTGCTCTTGAGGCCACTGTTCCCCATGGCCTGCCGTTTCCTTTCCTTCACCACAGTTCTCTCTGCTTTTAATCCCCTGTAGAACACCCATCTCCGCTTTCTCGCCAGACAACATCTATGAAGTGCAGCCGCCACGAGTCGATAGGAAATCTACTGAGATCTTCCAAGCCCACATCCAGGCCGGTCTTGGGATCATGCAGCCACTGGGCAAAGAGGACACCACTACATACCGAGAGTACCTCAGGAACCGCTACCTGTGAAGCAGCAATGCCTAAGGGCTGGTGGCACTGAGCGGGGACCAAGCAAGCCACCTCTGCTTATGGTGCCATCTGTTTGTCTTAAAAAGGTCATTTCCTCAGTGTTCCTTGCAAAATATAGGTCATAAAGAAGTGATTGGACGTTTTGCTGCCATTGCCTTTGCTTTATTTAATAGATGCTTGGGCCTGGCGGCGTGGCCTAGTGGCTAAAGTCCTCGCCTTGAACGTGCCAGGATCCCATGTGGGCGCCGGTTCTAATCCTGGCAGCTCCATTTCCCATCCAACTCCCTGCTTGTGGCCTAGGAAAGCAGCCGAGGACGGCCCAAAGCTTTGGGACCCTGCACTTGTGTGGGAGACCCAGAAGAAGTTCCTGGATCCTGGCTTTGGATCGGCATAGCATTGGCCATTGTGCTCATTTGGGGAGTGAATCATCGGACGGAAGATCTTCTCTGTCTCTCCTCCTCTCTGTATATCCGCCTTTCCAATAAATAAATAAATCTTAAAAAAAAAAGTGTGGATGCTTTACTTTATTTTGGGAAGTGATTTGAAAATATGGTCAGTCTAGCATCACACCATCACCTTAGGAAATTAACAGTTGTTTACTGGATACCTGCTGGGTCCCAGGAACAACGGTAAGTTCTGGAAATTGTAGTAAACAAAACAGGTCCCCAAATCCCTGTCTTTTCAGGAACGAAGACCAAATAACTTTTTGTCCTTTATAATTAGCGTATTGTTTTGAAATTTTACTTGATGTTTTCATGTTAGTGTTATTCTTTACTTTAAAAATTTCACAATTTTCTAAGTCCCATTCTTGGAAAATAAACACTGAACTGCTTATGAATAAGGGTACAAGACAAGTGCCCTATGATGATCAGGAAAAAGGTATAAATAATAAAGCAAACAGAGCAAAATATCAATACTTAGTAAACCTGGGCAAAGAGTAAGGAGGTCTTTGAGCTATTCTTGAGGTTTGTCTGTCAATGTAAAATTAGATCAGAATCAAGCATTAAAAGTTCTTTTTCAGAACACCATTGCACTCTCTGAGCTCTGGCCTTCAGTCATGTGCACAGCTGTTTGTTCTCCTTATAAGGCACTAACATGGACACCTCTCCGCATTGCCCAAGGTTAACATAGACGATCTGCTCTCGTTGTGTCTATACCTTTATCACTAATGTCTTCAGTTCTGTCTCCCCATCAGTAATATAGAGATGGACACCAAGCCAATCTAACGGGAGAGGGAAATACAGCCACACCAAATCATGTGTAAGGTATGGCCAGCCCTCACACTGGGGTTCTAGGAAAGGTTTTACTTTGCAAGTCAAGGTGAAGTCCCCATAGAGCAGACATTTCGAGTGATGCCCTCACAAAGACAAGATTAGAGAACAATAATGGATAAGTGAGATCTTGTGTCTGCATGGTTAAGATCTCTAACATGAGATCCTGCTGCCATGTGGGGAACCTAACATGAGTCCTTCCATGTCAGAAGTAACCCTGAGCTGCTGTAGAGGCACCACTTATAGGTCAGAAAACGGCACTTATTTAAAAAAATTTGTTTTTAGCATGGTTTCTAAAAGTCCACTTGCTACTGCTAAGAATGATTTTTATCTGAAATATAGAGCTTCTCTCATAATCTGTCTACTCTTGGCTTTCTTTAGCTGTACAATGAGGGCACTCATCTCTAGTTTCTTGTGTTAGTTAGCATAAAGACAATATATGCAATACACAAAGCAAGATTCTCATGGCCTTAAAGGGCTGATACAGCACTGGATGTTGGTGGCAGATGTAGAGTGAGTTAGCACATGGAAAGTTCTCTCTCTCTCCCCCACCCATCCTCTTAAGTAAAATGAAAAAAAAATTAACTTTTTTAGAAAAAGCTTTATTTATTTTCATTGGAAAGGCAGATTTATAGAGAAATGGAGAGACTTTAAGATTTAGTTCACTCCCCAGATTGCTACAATGGCCAGAGTTGAGTCAATCTGAACCCAGGATCCAGGAGCTTCCTCCAAGTCTCCCATGTGGGTGCAGGGTCCCAAGGCTTGGGCCACTTTCTGCTGCTTTCCCAGGCCATAAGCAGAGAGCTGAATGAGAGTGGAGCAGCCGGGACATGAAGCAGCAACCATATGGGATCCCCAGGCTTGCAGGGAGAGGACTAGCCAGTTAAGCCATTGAGCCAGGCCTATAAAGTTTTTTTTTTTTTTTCAAAGCAGTAGTGAGTTTTGGGCACCATCACTTACTTGTAGTTAATACAGCACTGAATAAGTCACTTAGCATCACTAAGGCTCCATCTTCTCACCCAGTGTAGAATTATTGAGAGAAAGAAATAAGATAAGCATTGGGCATGATATTGATCATATGAGAAATAGCTACTATACGTTAGCTCTGAAAGGTCGCTGTCCAAGTTCAGTCCCCACCACTTGTGGCCTTGACCTTGAGTGTCATTCCAGAACAAGGCCATTATTTATGTTCATCGTCCCTACTCACTGGAGAAGGAGAAGGCTTCTGGGTTCATCTTGGCATTAGAGTTTTTAATTTTTAAAATCAGCTGATTTAGCCCTGATATAGAGTAGATTGTATGAGGTTACTTCAAAAAAGTCATAGAAAAGTGGAACTCAAAGATCAATTTGTTTTGTTGCAAAACTTTTGAATTGTAGTCACACAAGGAACCTTCCTAAAAAAAAAATCAGGGAAAAAGCATGTTATGAAAAAAATATGTATGATTTCAACTTCTGGGATCAAGATAAATTTCTCTTTTCAAAAGCATTTATTCATTTATATGAAAGAGAGAGGGAGAAAAATGAGCATTCCCATAAACTGGTTTGCTCTGCAAACATTTGCAACAGCTAGGGCTGGCCAAGACCAAAGCTAGAGGTGATTACTCAAGCCAAGTCTCCTTTAAGGGTAAGTGATAGGAACCCAATTACCCACACCATCACGTGCTACCTGCAAGGTGCTCATTAACAGGAAGCTAAAGTCAGGAGCTAGAGACAAGCATCCAACTCAGATACTGAACTATAGGACATGGATGTTTTAAAAAGCATCCTAAGAGCCAGGCTAAATGTATACCTTAAATTTAATCTTAGTTCCATTTTCCATGAACTTTGTGAAGTACCCTTATAAACAGAAATCACATTAATTACCAGATCCTATGATATTGTGTTGTGTTCTGTTGACCATGCTATCATGAACAAGAACAAAGCATTCACATTAAAATAATAGAATGAACCACCTCAATGTGTTGGGGCGGGAGTGGAGTGGGAAAGTCTGATTAGAGAATGCTTAAAGCCACATTGTGTAAGTGTAGCCTCCACTCTGTTGAATGTCTGTCACTTTATCAAATCTGGAGACCCTGCAGTGGTAAAGGACTTTTCCAGCTCACTGTTTGCCATACTGTTGGAGGATTGACTGGCTGTGTCTCCCATGCAAATGCCTGTGGCATAAAAAATCATACTTTTGTTGTGAGAGAACATTCTCATGGTGATACCCTGTCCTCAGAAGTTTCATCTTTGATTCTGTGCATTCAAACGGAAGTTACATATAGTCCAATTCTCTCTGTTCCTCACTTACCTGTGAATCAATTAGTTGCCACTTGAAAGTGAAATTCCAACTTTAGTGGAAAAATTGTCCTGGATCTTATTACATGTTTCACAGTAGATTTCTTCCCCCTTAGCTCGATGAGTCTTATCTTTCTTAGAATTTGCCAGTGGATGAGTCATATGTTTTCTCTCTCTCTCTCTCTCTTTGGAAAAAGAGTGGTGCCTCACAATTGTCCCCGCTTGTGCATTTGTGTTAGGTTGGCCAGAGCAATGGCTCAGAGTGGCCAGAGAGGGGAGATGTTCTAATGTCCCAGATATTCTTTTTCTTGAGATCACATTTTACTCTGAAAATCTGCTTAAAGATGCATTGTCTTAATTGGGTTTGCCCTCCTACCATCATGATTTGTTCTGTGGCGATAAATACAGCTTCCTAGAATCTCCATGGCTTGGTGGACAGCAGAACGAACTGATGATTGCCGTGGTTAAATGAATCCTTTGTTGAACGAAGCATGCTCTGTTTTGATTAATTCCTGAGACTTAGTCCCTTCCCTTTGGGGGAGGCGATAGATTATTTTGAAAGTTGCACGTGTTCTGGTGTGCCACTAGCACAGACGGTATGCACACGTGAAGAGCTTAACTTCAATAGACTCTTGAGGCCCCACATCCATTTCAGAAGCTGGAGGGTCATTTACTATTACAGAGCATTAAGCTGTCCTTTTGCTGCTAAAAACCCACACATGAAATATTTTTGTAAGTTCATTTCTTCAGTACATTCGAGTGGACTCCAATGTGATTGTCATTCAACTGGTTAATAAAAAAAATCGTAGTCGGAGTTGATCCTCAGTGATTGGAGACTCTTTGCACAAAGAAAATCATGAAATGAAATCACCTGCATTAGTCACCAGGGAAGGAGTAGGGCTGGGGGATAGGATTTGCTAAGCTAGGTGGCCACAGAGATGCTAGTCAAAGACAAAAGGATGGTGCAGGAGAAAATGACAAATATGGTCGCCTCAAGGTTAAGCAGCAAGTACAAGGAGAATGTCTCTACCTGCAGCAATTCTGTCCAGCATCCCCCTAACACCATAAGTTTTCCTTTTAAAATAGGAATGATGACTTAAAAACGAAGCTGTGTCATCTTAGCTTGTCCCGCTCCACAACCCCAAGTCATCATGCCTTACAGATGGTTGGGCTGGTAATGAAATTCGGCAGTTGGTTCCAGGAATGGCACAGAACCTAGGACAAGCTGTAGCCCAGAGAGCCTGTGCTCAGGGACCCATGGCTCTGTGATCACAATCAATGGCTGATGTCCAGAATGTTTGTTACAGTTTTTAGTCTTATTTTTAAAGCAGATTTTATATTTATTTGTTGATTATTTTTTAATTTTTATTTTTCATGATACAGTTTCATAGGCTCAGGGAATTGTCCTCCCTCCTCCCTATTCTCCCTCCCCTCCCACTGTCACTGTTGTCACCTACATTATAATAGTATACCATTGTAGCCTTTCTTGAGGAAGACCACACAACCACATATAGTCTGGTTGGCCATGGCGCACTTGTGTCTATGAAATCCTTTTCCCTGGCTCGTGACAAGCGGATCCATTCCTTTCACCTGCCCAAGACACACTTACCAGATCAGTTACACTCTC